TCGATGGATATGGCGGTCATCAATGGAGTCCACATTTGAATTTAGTTCATAGTTTTTCAAGTTATTCACCTATTTGCCCCTCATCAAGGACACTCACAGTTTTAATACAGAAGTTTGTACTACTGATGTAATTACTGGTTGAAATGTTCAGCGTTCTACCCATGAATAAAGAAGTCATTACGACTTTCTTTTGAACTCGATCATTTGAGTCTGCTGTATGTTCTGTGGAGATTTATTAAATGTGGCGATTTATTCGAACCGAATTCCCACAGCCACAAACACAAGCATTAATAATAGACTGTATACATAACACAACCATTATTAGTAGACTGCATACATAACACAACCATTAATAATAGACTGCATACATAACACAACCATTGATAATAGACTGCATACATAACACAACCATAAATAATAGACTGCATACATAACACAACCATTAATAATAGACTGCATACATAACACAACCATGCTGTATTTACCTTCTCTGTTCATTTGAACAGCTTTAATGTAATGTTTGCGCTGTAACTCTCTGGTTTCATCACGCCAATTTTTCAGTAATTCATTGTCTCTGTAATATTAGAAGCATGTATCAATTTCATGTACCTCTCAATGCAATCAAAGAAATCAATCAATTGTAATAACATGATAGAACATGTGCTGAATGCTTACATGGATGAATGTATGTATTATTATGTGTGACACGATATCAAGTTAAAACATTCTACACTGTTGGGGAGGGGGTGGTGAAGCATAGAGAATGCACAGTCTATTAATGCTAATGTCCATTACTGGCAGTGACGACTGGTCCATCTGTCCATCTGGTTAATAACAAACAAATTGCAATTGATGAAATCACAAAATAACCAATCTATGAGTTAGTCTTTGGTGTTTTTCCAGTAATATAAAATATTGTACTGTATGAGTGTATAAATGAAAAATGCGTACAATTTCAATTTTAGTATTGTTTCTAAACAGCAGCCTGTCGGCTAAGATAGCTACGCTGTTAGCAATGCACATTTCAATTAAAGAACAGAAGATATCATTAGAAAATGAACAATATGTATAGTATCAAATCAACAGGACTTGCTGTTTTCAACAAGAATTCAAAAATATCACTTTTCGCCAAAAATAATCATCAAAATTAAATAATTGAACATATCATCATGAAATAAACAAATCTGAGAGAGGTCCACATGTAGTACCTATATATGTGATATCAAAGCAATTGGACTTGCGGTTTTCAACAAGAAGTTGAAAATATCACTTTTTACCATCAAAATTAGAGAATTGAAGATATCATCATGATATGAACAAATCTAAGAAAGGTCCCACCCAAGGTACATGTACATATACACCAAGTATCAAAGCATTCAGGCTTATAGTTTTCAGGAAGAAGTCGAAAAAGTAAAACACTAACACGGACGACAAAGACGGACAATCACTCATATGATAAGCTCTGCTAGACAAAGGCAACAGCGGAACTAAAAACAATTTAGACAATTGTTTGCTATGAAAATTTGACTCTAATTTTGACCTTGATGCTGATTGGTAGAATATTATTGAGCCTGTCAATCATTGCATCATGCACTGTTACCCAGTCTGGTTACAATCAGCACGAGTGTCACAAAGAGTGCATCTACAAAGGACACAAGTCTCTTGTTTGTTTATTTCGTACTAATCATCACATTATAATGAAACTTGGTACATGGATGATCTAGGAAGATGCACATACCTTATTATTTTTACATCAAAATCTGTGTGCATTAATTACCTGATTTGCATAATTAGTTTAGTTTTCAGCTTTTCCATCGATATGTCAAGTACTTATTTTTCTTCAATAAATCTTGGTATATAAATACATGTAACAATTTAATATAATCTAATGTTTTGAGTTTATATACATCTATAATAATTACCTAATTTGCATAATAATTAGCCAAGTATAAACATTTTCACTCATTTCTCATGTACTATTCAACTGATTTCAATGAAACTTGGTACATGGATGCCTTGCGATAATGCACTGATCTGTTTAGTTTTGGGTTGAGCTCCAGTGCATATTACCTAATTTGCTTATTATTTAACCAATTTTATACCTTTTCAATTTTCTCTCAAGAACCAATGAATTTCAATGAATCTTAATACACAGATGCTTCAGGATAATGTGCAGATTTGTTTTTTTGAAATCCATGCATATTAATGACTTAATTTGAATATTAATTAGCAAAATTTGAGTATCTTCACCTGTTTCTCAAGTACCATAACATATTTTAATGAAACATGGGTAGCCACAAAGATGCTCTAGGATAATGCGTAAACCTGATTAGTTTTGGGTTGAGATCAATGTTATACCGTACTCGACCGCGTTAGCGCCCACCCCCCACTTTTGCGCAATTGTTATATTTGGGGTCACATTCGGCAAAGCACCCACCCCTTCAAAATGCAACTAATTTAAAAGTTGGTCTTGCGTAACGAATCTTGGTAATCGTTTTTATATGATACAGCGTGGACATCGATCGCTGTGAACATGTTGTGAATGCGTAGAACATGGTAACCATGCGTAAACTACGCTTCGACGATGACCTGTTAATACAAGTAAAATGCAATAAATATTTCATGCCATATTCAGTTTACCTCTCAAAAATGGCTAGTTACTAGTTTTTTTGGAA